TCTAAACCACTTCATTCCAGAGCTCTGGTGGATTTGTCTAAAAGCATCATTTCTTAGTGTGCTTGGGTAGAACCTGTTGTTGTGTCTACTTCTGGGAACAATGTCAGCTGTCCATTGTTAACTTTCATTTGGAAATAATCTTCCTCTGTGTCAAACATTGAACTCTAGTGAAGCAAAAACTACAACAAATTAATTGGAACATGTTTAAATGTAAACATTTCATCACTGCAACTATTAAAAACCAAAAACTGGCCACGATGTAATGGAGATTAGTAGTGGGGGAAATCTACAGTTGTTCACTCACTATAATGATGTAACAGCTGTTGGCTAGTTGGTCAACGACATCAAACAGCTACTTCATGTTCTCCTTGTCTGGTTTATGATGTAAATTTGGTGAGGCAAGCGGTTGGTGTCCTCTATGAATGTTCACTAAAAACTAGGGGTGTTTTACCGATATGCAGTGCATCCAGAAAGTATTCATAGTGCTTCACTTATTCCACTTTTTTGTTTATTTTACAGCCTCATTCCAAAATGGATTAAATTCATTTTGCCCATAAAATACAACACACAACACCCCATAATGGTAATGTGAAAAAAGTGTCTTTGAAGTTGTTGCAAATATATTAAAAATAAAAAACTTGAGAAATCACATGAACATAAGTATTCACAGCCTTTGACGTGAAGCTCAGAATTGAGCTGAGATGCATTCTGTTTCCACTGATCATCCTTGAGATGTTTCAGCAGATTAATTGGAGTCCATCTGTGGTAAATTAAGTTGCTTGGACATGATTTGGAAAGGCACACACCTGTCTATATAAGGCCCCTGGGTTGACAGTGCATGTCAAAGCACAAACCTGCATGAAGACAAAGGATTTGAGTGTAGACCTCTGAGACAGGATTGTCTTGAGGCACAAGGCCGGGGAAGGTTACAGAAACATTTCTGCTGCTTTAAAGGTTCCTTTGAGCACAGTGGCCTCCATCATCCGTAAGTGGAAGAAGTTTGGAATCACCAAGACTCTAGAACTGGTCGGCCTTCTAAGCTGAGTGAATGGGGGAGAAGGGTCTTGGTCAGGGAGGTGACCAATTACCTGATGGTCACTTTGTCAGAGCTCCAGCTGTCCTGTGGAGAGAGGAGAACCTTCCAGAAGGACAACCATCTCTGCAGCAATCCACCAGTCAGACCTGTATGGTAGAGTGGCCAGACGGAAGTCTTTCCTTAGTAAAAGGCACATGGCAGCCCACCTGGAATTTGCTAAAAGGCACCTTAGGGACTCAGACAACGAGAAACAAAATCCTCTTGTCTGATGAGACAAAAATTGAACACTTTGGCGTGAATGCCAGGCGTTATGTTTGGAGAAAATCAGGCACTGCTTATCACCTGGTGTCTCATTTATCAAACAGTGCGTAGAATCCTTACTAAAACCGTACTTAAGCTCAGCAAAAAAAAAGTACTTACGCCAAGTAGGTTTGTGATCTATCAAACATGGAGTACACACAGCTGCACGCAATCTCCGCTTCATAAGTCTGAGACTAACGAGAATGGTTCTCAGCTGCATTTTAGTCAGAGTCCTCCCTCACCACGCCCACTTACTGCCATAAATAGTCAGAGCAAAGTGCCTTGTGGATCTCATGCACATACATAAGCCGGCTGTTGCAGCGATCTGCCAATGACATGGCAACCGTAGATCAAGGCAGATCAAGGAAGCGTAATTTCACAGAAGCAGAAATTGAGGTACCTGTGGGTGAGGTGGAGAAATGAAAGGAAGTGCTTTTGCAAAACAAATAAGAGAAAGTCCACGGAGTGGCACAGCATTGCTGAAGCCATCAATGTTGTGAATTCTTCAGAGAGGTCTGTGGCGGATATAAAAAAATGGTCCAGTCGGGATTCGATCAGACTCCCAGGTGAAAGTCGTGCGCTAACCAGTCAACAAACGGAGATCTCCCCTGTACACGTAGCCAGGGTGCATGATCAATCGGGTCACAGTGACATGACACACACACTGTCACAGACACATGACATTCTGTCTCAATCTGTCCCCCTGCTGATATTCTGCATTCCATATTCTGCGCTTCAGGCTGTGTGTGTGTGCGAGTGTGTGTGCTCGCATGTTTGTGTGCGCTCGCGTGCGTGTGGGGGGTCTTGTTCTGTGTGAAAATGAAATAGTACAAGTGATAATGCTGCAGGATTTCATCAGTTTATTCTTCTCAGCAGCAGCATTGCAGGTGCTCTCCATGTCCAAAATGTGCGTAAGCAAGGTCCTTAGTCAACTTAAAGTTGTGCACATTTTTCCGGTAAGTTTTCTTTCATAAATCCCAAAGTTTGCCTGGAAAGTTGCTTACGCAGTTTTCCCACCCCATTTTGTGCGTGAGCAAGCTTGATAAATGAGGCCCCTCAATACCATCCCTACAGTGAAGCATGGTGGTGGCAGAATCATGCTGTTGGGATGCTTTTCAGCAGCAGGAACTGGAAGACTAGTCAGGATTGAGGGAAAGTGTCACGTCGGGAGCCAAGAGGAGGTTAGGACTCAAATATGCAGAGATTCCAGATGACACAGGGTGGAGAAATAACGTAAAATCATTTATTAAAGAATACATCCAAAAAAGGCAGGGAACAAAAACAAAAATCAAAAAGTCCCAATAACAAAACCTAGAGTATCCAAAAACATAAGAAACCAAAATCAAGAGAGGGGAACGAGACAAGGGTGACACAAACAATGACCCAACAACAAACAGAGACGCAGACAGGGTTAAATACACTGGGGCATGATGAGAGGAAGATAAGCTGCAGGAGCGTGGGGAGACAAACCTAGTGAAAGCAATTAACTAATCAGGGAGAGGAAACTAGCATGACCTAAGAGCAAAAACCTAAAGACAAGAAGAGCAAGCAAAAATAACTAATATTCTAAGGGGGAAGGAAAACTACAAAAACCGGTGGGGAAAGAAACACACTAAAGAGACTAATTAAATGAAAAGCTGTACCTATAGAAAAACTGCAGAGGGGTGACTAGGGGAGACCAAAAGAGCACAGGACCTGGCAGGGATAATCTGGAGGGCCTGCAGACCAGGGGACACATGAGGAACACAAGGAGACACATAAGGGGATCCTTAGGGGAGGATGGAGCACACAAGGAGACACATGAGGGAGACGCAGACCATGACAGAAAGATGACTGCAACAATGTACAGAGACATCCTGGATAAAAATCTGCTCCAAAGCGCTCTTGACCTCAGACTGGGGCGACGGTTCACCTTTCAGCAGGACAATGACCCTAAGCACACAGCCAAAATATCAAATGAGTGGCTACAGAACAACTCGGTGAAGGTCCTTGAGTTGCCCAGACCTGAACCCCATTGAACATCTCTGGAATGATTTGAAAATGGCTGTGCACCGACACTCTCCATCCAACCTGATGGAGCTCAAGAGGTACTGCAAAGAGGAATGGGCAAAACTGCCCAAAGATAGGTGTGGCAAGCTTGTGGCATCTTAATCAAAACGACTCAAGGCTGTAATTGCTGCCAAAGATGCATCAATAAAGTACTGAGTAAAGGCTGTGAATACTTATGTTCATGTGATTTCTCAAGTTTTTTTTATTTTTAATAAATTTGCATCAACTTCAAAAACACTTTTTTCACATTATCAGTATGGGATGTTGTGTGTTGAATTTTATGGGCAAAATGAATTTAATCCATTTTGGAATGAGGCTGTAACATAAACAAAAAAGTGGAATAAGTGAAGCGCTATGAATACTTTCCGGATGCACTGTACTGGTATTGCCTAACTTTTATCTTTCCAACACAATATATGCTGGATAAAAATCTCATTTAAATTCATGGACATCATTGGTCAAATTCATATAACAAATGGGATCAGAACATCTTCTGATTTATCAGTTCATAGACTCGCATTAATTTTTTGGGTAGTAAGGGACCCGTGGACCCAGAAGTAGATGGGCCACAAAGTTAAAACTTGTGAAGCTGGTATCTGCAGGTCAGAGCCATACAGGAATCAGGAAATGGCAATCACTATTGAACCCCAAATCTGCCCATCCTTTTCTTTTTGAGTGTACCTCATTCTATCACGGAGATAAGGAGCGGGAGCATGAGGAAAAAAATAAAATAAAATTGGGATTTAAACAAATGAGTCTACACAATATGAGACACGAGCTTTTTTATAGTATACAGGGACATATTGTAAAGTTTCAGGTCTCAATCCACGTTTTGTTATATTTAGCCCGAGTTGTGATGAATAGTTCTTTCTGAAAGACGGCTGTTGCTAAAAATAGCCTCTGCTGCTGCTGCTGTTTGTGCCAGGCGTTTCCAGGGTGTCTGCTTGCCCCGCTGATGACAGACAGGACCTCTCTCATTTGTCTGTCTTCATTACATTGAGTTTCCTCCATATCTCCATCTGTCTGCACTCGCACCCAGCTCTTTATGCCTCAACAGTTAATTCAGCTTTTTATGTGCTTGCCCATTAACACAGTTTTTGCACACGGTTTATAAGACGCCAGAAGTTTCAGTAGATGGCAGCATTTGTCTGAGATTGTCTTTGTTCCTCTGCACTCTTACTGCAGTTTCTCTTTTATCCTCCATTTGAAGTCACGCTTAAGAAGATGAGGAGAAAAATGTATCCACGAGTGTATCATCGGACAAAAAACCGCTGTGTCTATCTGTGTTATTTTTGCTACACTAAGGTAGAATGTTGGTGCTGCACTGCAGACATCTGGAATGTGTATTTGTGAGCTGAACAGCATCCCCTTCGGGATAATCTGGAGCGCTGACTGTTCTACTGAGATCTAAGTGTAGCATTTAGGTCTGTCACTGGTGTCTTATTTTTTTCTTTTTTTTTTCTGTCCATTTGGCCAATTTTTCTTCCTTTAACTTAACTGATGTTTGTGTATTACTTATTCTGTAAGAAATAGCAAATCTGTATTTAAAACAAAGCTTTGGGATGTAATTTATTTTTTTCTGCTTATGTATTCATTTTTTTCTGTTTTCCTTTAGTTGTGACTGGAGCCACCGATGGTATTGGGAAGGCATACGCTGAGGAGGTAAGATTAATCAAGAATTCATTAGAATAATAAATATATTCTTAAAGTTGTCTTGAGTTTTAAATAAAATCTGGTTTGGTAATGTTGAGTTTTATTTGAAAATATTTAATGGATTATTTAGCTTTTTCAGTTTGTCTTTAATTATTGACAAACCATTTTAGATGTAGTTAAAAATGTTAAATTACATGAATCTCATTTCTGTGGTTTTCCCAGCATGTTTAGAGTCATCATTTATATTTTTCTTCTACATTTTAACAGCTTGCTCGCAGAGGCTTTTCAATAGTTCTGATCAGTCGCTCTCTGGAGAAGCTTGATGATGTGTCCAAGGCAATCGGTGAGAAACATGTAGCATGTTTACATTTTTAAACAGGTCAGATCACTGTTAATTATATAGTAAATTATAATCAAAATAATCACACATTTTCATGCCAAGAAAAGTCACTGATAATTGTGATCAAAGACAAATGAAGACCAGAACTGCAAGCAGTCTGGTTCATTGGGTTCCAAGGCAACCAGTGCCATAGCCCTACCCAGCTCCGCTCCTGCCTTCGCCATTCCTCGCATGGCACCGCTCCTTCCACATGTTCTCCTGCCAGCCTTCTTTCAGCTAAAAATCTCACTTCTACCAGCACAATGAATAAACACACTGGATAACTTTTTGACCCCGTAGCACCTCCTGTAAATCTTTCATTGAGTAGATAGGCATGGCTAACGTCTCAATCCTTATTACAATCCAGTTTCATCATTTAATCTTGAAAGATTGTGGAGATTTAGTCAGTTAAGTCATGTGCTAGCTTTCACAAAGATTTAGGAGTTGCGTTGTTTGCTCAATTTTGAATATTTCTGTGATGTCTTTATCACATATAGTTACGGTGTGCTGCTGACCTCGATATGGGGTGTTGTGGATTGGTGGGTGGAGTACTTTGAAGACCTCCGCAATCCCACCAGCACGTTTTCCAGTGAGGAAGCAGAGTCCGGGGCCTTTGGGTTGGGCTCTCCAATCTCTGGTGCTGAGGTCATTGAGGTGGTCAAAAAGCTCCTCGGTTGCAAGGCTCCAGGGATGGATGAGATCTGCCCAAAGGCTATTGTAGGGTTGTGCTGGCTAACACAGCTCTGCAATATTACATGGACATCAGAGGCAGTCCCACTGCTTTGGCAGACCGTGGTGGTACCCCTTTTTTAAAAAGGGGGCCCACAGAATGGGACGGAGGGAGGGAGGGAGGGAGGGAGGGAGGAAGGAAGGAAGGAAGGGAGGAAGGAAGGGAGGAAGGAAGGAAGGAAGGTCTTTTCTATAGTACCTCTCAAGATAAAAAAACACAAGGCACTTCATACAACAAAACAATTTAAAATATGAGATTTCAAAAAATTATCAAAAACATGTTTAGAATAAGCCAAAACAGACAATTGTGGTTAAAAAATGCAAAGAAAGAAAGAGAGAGTGAATAGGATAGAGGGAAATCAGTGAATCCTGGGGAGAGCAGAATAAAGAGAGGGTGGTGATGAAGGTCACACAAAATTGATTTTAGGTGTTTCTATTTTATGACAGTTTTTAATTTGTGTTTTATGTGTATATATGTGAATTTGAATGGCTTTTTAGGTTTAACTCTGTGCAGTGCTTTGGCCAGCTGACATGCCGTTTTTAAATGCGCTTTATAAATAAAATTGGATTTGATTGGATTGGAAATGCCAGCCTAAACAGGTGAGTTTTCAGCTGCTTCTAGAAGGAGACCACTGAGTCCACTGATCTAAGGCTCAGGGGGAGAGAGTTCTAGAGTCTGGGGGCCATAGTACTAAAGTGTTGGTGCGTGTTGATGAGGTGTATTTGTGGCTGTGGTGAGCGGGTAGTGCAGGCATCGTCTGGCCTACGCCAGCTGATGCCACCACACCACCCCTCTTCCCCCCACAGCCCTCTGTCTAAGTGCAGTTTAAAACTGGAAGTGAGCACTGGCACCTGGGATGAGGCTGAAAGATCCCCTTGCCAAATGCCGTTGTGTGTGCTTACTCCTGAGGCCCTAAGTGTGTGTTTGCATGGAATGTCATTGGTGGAAGTGTTTAATGTGCAAATAAAAATGGGGGGCAGGCTGCCACAGGAATGCGGAACTGGGGTCCATACCCGGACCCCCTGACTTGTCCACCCCCCAAAGTCCTATGTGCATGTTTGTGTGATGATGTGAGGGAGCAGAAGGAGAAAAATGTGTGGGGATGGGGAGGAATGGCTGGTTGGCTTAAGCCCTCCAGGGAGCCAGCTCCCCAACTGTCCCCAATAGGCACCTCTATTGCCAAAATGCCACCCAGTTTATGGAGACCCCAGCCCATCTTGCCAAGGCCCAAAGCAGCATATTGCAGAGCTCCACGGAGTCCAAGGGAACCACTGCAGCCCCACCCCAGCAGAATATCTACTCCCATCCCTGCATTTGCACAGCTTCCAGAGTATATAAGACATACAGGTGCTGGCCAGTAAATTAGAATATCATCAAAAGGTTGAAAATATTTCAGTAATTCCATTCAAAACGTGAAACTTGTACATTATATTCATGCAATGCACACAGACCAATGTATTTCCAATGTTCATTACATTTAAATTTGATATTCATAAATGACAACTAATGAAAACTCCAAATTTGGTATCTCAAAAAATTAGAATATTCTGAAAAGGCTGAATATAGAAGACACCTGCTGCCACTCTAATCAGCTGATTTACTCAAAACACCTGCAAAGGCCTTTAAAAGGTCCCTCAGTCTTGTTTTGAAGGCACCACAATCATGGGGAAGACTTCTGACTTAACAGCTGTCCAAAAGACAATCATTGACACCTTGCACAAGGAGGGCAAGACACAAAAGGTGATTGCTAAAGAAGCTGGCTGTTCGCAGAGCTCTGTGTCCAAGCACATTAACAGACAGGCGAAGGGACGGAAAAAATGTGGTAGAAAAAAGTGTACAAGCTCTAGGGATAACCGCACCCTGCAGAGAATTTTGACGACAAACCCATTCAAAAATGTGGGGGAGATCCACAAAGAGTGGACTGCAGCTGGAGTCAGCGCTTCAAGAACCACCACGAGGAGACTCATGAAAGACATGGGATTCAGGTGTCGCATTCCGTGTGTCAAGCCACTCTTGAACATGAAACAGCGCAAGAAGCGTCTCGCCTGGGCCAAGGACAAAAAGGACTGGACTGATGCTGAGTGGTCCAAAGTTATGTTTTCTGATGAAAGCAAGTTCTGCATTTCCTTTGGAAATCAAGGACCCAGAGTCTGGAGGAAGAGCGGAGAAGCACAGAATCCACGTTGCATGAGGTCCAGTGTAAAGTTTCCACCGTCAGTGATGGTGTGGGGTGCCATGTCATCTGCCGGTGTTGGCCCACTCTGTTTCCTGAGGTCCAGGGTCAATGCAGCCGTCTACCAGGAAGTTTTAGAGCACTTCATGCTTCCTGCTGCTGACCAACTTTATGGGGATGCAGACTTCACCTTTCAACAGGACTTGGCACCTGCACACAGTGCCAAAACCACCAGCACCTGGTTCAAGGACCATGGTATCCCTGTCCTTGATTGGCCAGCAAACTCGCCTGACCTTAACCCCATAGAAAATCTATGGGGTATTGTGAAGCGGAGGATGCAATACGCTAGTCCCAACAATGCAGAGGAGCTGAAGACGACTATCAGAGCAACCTGGGCTCTCATAACACCTGAGCAGTGCCACAGACTGATCGAGTCCATGCCACGCCGCATTACTGCAGTTATTGAGGCAAAAGGAGCCCCGACTAAGTATTGAGTGCTATACATGCACATTCTTTTCATGTTCATTCTTTTCAGTTGGCCAACATTAGAGAAACAAACATTTTTTCATTGGCCTTTAGAATATTCTAATTTTCTGAGATACCAGATTTGATGTTTTCATTGGTTGTCACCTATAAATATCAAAATTAAACGTAATAAACATCGGAAATACATTGGTCTGTGTGCATTGCATGAATATAATGTACAAGTTTCACGTTTTGAATGGAATTACTGAAATATTTTCAACCTTTTGATGATATTCTAATTTACTGGCCAGCACCTGTAGGACTTCCAGGTAAGGTTGGGTCCTCCCCCTCCTGGACAACCCCCTCCCCTGTGATGGACAGCAGAGGAGCCAAGGCCTACCCGAGGCCCCTGAGCCTGGGCCAGGCACTGCCGTATGTTCCCGCCTTCTTCCCGGCAGCATACATGTCAGGACCCAACCCCCAAGGCCCCGCCCAGATCCCCACACGGGGCCGGCCAACCCCACACCCTGAGCCCCCAGGCCCCCACCCAGATATATCCAGGGGCATTGCAGCCGCCAGGCAGTGACCCATGGCCACCGCCAAGATCCCCAAGGGGCCCCACTCACACCCGCCAGTAGTTCACCCCCCGAGTCAACCCAAGCACCTCCAGAGGGGGGCAGAAGTCCCCCAGCCCCAGACGCCCCCAGTGAACCCACCCTCAGGGAACGTCCTGATACTCCAAACTCGGACCCTCCACCCCATCACCCACATCAGCCCGCAGGACAATATCAATGGCCCCCCGTCATCGCTATGTGATGGAACCGATCAAAGGAGCCCAGAGAGATTGACTTGAAGTGGAAGTCGAGGCTGTATCAAATGCAATATGATCTAACACAATATTTCTTTACTGGTTAATGCAAAGAGTATCTCTGTTTTTCCAATTCATGAGGATAGTTTTCTTAGCGATGTAAATGGCAGTCAGAACCACGTGAACCAAAGATGTTTCAATCAGGACATTGTCCAGGTTTCCCAGTAAACAAAGAGAGGGGGAAGTTGGGATATGACATTTCAGACATTTTGACAGGTCTTCACATACTCTACCCTAGAATTCCTGGACAAGTGGACAGGACCACAGTGCATGATTGTAATTGTCACGAACGTTGTTTGTGCAGTGTGTACATGTGTCAGACGACACAAACCCCACCCTGAACATCTGATGACCTGTATAGTGTACTCTGTGTAGGATTTTGTACTGAATTAATTGTAAATTGGGGTGTCTGATCATTTTAAAAGCTTTTAAACAAGTTTGGGACCAGAAGTTCTGGTCATAGCTGACTGATAGATCCACCTCCCATTTTTCAATAGGGATTGCTATTCTATAGTCTATTGTGGACAGTGTCTTATAAACTTTAGACAGTAGTTTGGGGGGTTTGAGATTATAGAAGTCAAATACCCTTGGTGGTGTTTTTAATTCTACTTTATTGAGCTTAAATTTTTGTTTAACTACAGATTTAATTTGGTGATATTCTAAAAAGCTATTCTCATCTATTCCAAATTGGGAGACTATTCTGCTACATGGGATGAAGTCCAATCCTTCATATGTGTTCCAGATATAGGATTCCTTTACTTTTCCAGTCCAGAAGGTTCATCATTTTGCTAGGTGTGCGTCTGCATGGTATTAGTGAAGACTCTATCAACTTTAGATACTCCCACCATGCTTCCAGAGAGGTGCTGATATTAATATGTTTGAAGCCTTCATGTTTTCTTATGCTTGAGCTAATAAATGCTAAGTCTGAAAGCTCTATCGTATTGCAAAGTGTCTGTTCTATATCTAACCAGGACTCATCTAGTGGGTTTTTAATAATCGACCCAGTTTAATTTATCGGATCAATACATTAAAAAATGACTAACATCGGCCAATAACCAATTTCAATGCAGATATATTGTGCATCCCTATTAAAATCCATAAAAAACTATAGGGTTCCAAGCCCAAAGGGCAGGGAACTCTAAATATATGTATAGTATAGGGATGAGCAATATGAAAAGAATTCCGATCACAATAAGTTTCATAACAGTTGATATTGATATATATCTTAATACAAAACAAACTGCACTCAGTCTTGTCTAGGATTGTACAGTTTTACATTTTGCTGCTCCAGCGGGTCATGCTGCTTCGGGAACTAAAACAGATTGCGGGTATTCTTTGACTTTGTTGCAACATGTGCTTTTATTTATTTATTTTTTACCTTACTTTAAATTATAAAAAAACTTCCACACAACTGAAGTGTTAAAGTTAAAGTCAAAGTCCCATTAGTTGTAACACACACACACTGGTGTGCGAGGTGAAATTTGTTCTCCGCATATGACCCATCCCCTGGAGGAGCGGTGAGCTGCGGACACAGCCATTCTCCGGAACCATTTAGTGGTTTAACCCCCCCAATCCATCCATCTTTTTATCATCCTTCTTAATGCAGAGTGTCAAGTGAGGACGCATTAGGTTCTGTTTTTAAGGTCTTTGGTATGGTTACCACCGCCCTGAACTGCCAGTTCAGTGGAACTGCCCTCGTTGTCCATGCAATATTGTAGAGCCAACCAACTCAGCATCCAGAGTCTTAAAGAACTCCAGGCGGATCTCATCCACCCCCTGGGCCTTGCCACCAAGGAGCTTTTTGACCACCCTTAAAGCAATACTAAATAAGCTTCCCTTTTACCTCCCACTGGTAAAATAAAAACCCTGCTTCAGCCTGCTATAATTGGTGGTAACAGTTAGCAATTGCCAACATCAAGGCCCTTTTGATTAGGAGCCCTGAAAATGAATCCCTCAAATAAAAATTACTTTATAAAAGATATCTGTGACCATTATTTTATTTTCCATCATTGATTTCTTCACTGCTTTATTTTTTCCTTATCTAAGTAACTGTTGTATATTTTCATAACATTTTTTCATTGTAAATGCCTGTTTTTTTGCCCCCAGCCAGCAAATGTGGTGTTGAGACTAAAACGATTGCAGCAGACTTCAGTTCTGCAGAAATCTACTCAAAGATTGAAGACGGACTTGCTGGACTGGAAATCGGAGTGTTGGGTAAGACTAGCAGGTGTTGAGGTCACCTCACTTAAAATTGGATGCAAACATTAGGACATTGTCATCTAGAAAATTCAGTGTGGATTTTTTTAAACAAATGAAAGTTTAAATGTTTCCATGGATACATTTACCAGTGCTTTGCTGCCTCCTAAAGGCGAAAATATGTATCACAGTTTTGTTTTTATACTTTGAATCTAATCTAATAGTCTTTTTGATGTTTCATTTTCAAAGTCACACTGTTTGTTTTTTTCTTTTACAGTAAATAATGTTGGGATATCATATACCTACCCGGAGTTCTACCTCAATGTTCCCAATCTTGACACTGTGAGTGTTTTTAACTTAAGAATGGTCGGTTTTCAGTTTCATTTCTGAGCATTTCATGGCATTTTTAATAGGCAGTGGTTAGAACGTAAGCTCAACATTAATGTTTTTCAGCATTTCTGACTTTTACGTTAAAGGTCTCATTTCTGTGGTGATGTTTGACTTTGTGTGTTTGGTCTGTTCACTTATGTTAGATAGGAGACCTGGTTGGATTAATCCAGTCCACTTTAGAATAGATCAGTATTGTGTAAGTGGACTGCTTTGCTCTGCTTTTGTCAGTCTTATGCTTCTTTAAACAGCTCAGTTGAAGGAAGGACCTAAAAGTGCCAGCTAATTCATTAAACTATTCAGAAATGTACGTAGGAGACTGTACAGGCTCTTATTCAGCCAAATTGAGCTGAAGAAAGAGTTTAAACTTTCTTTTGTACAAGACCATGTGTGATTTACATGGTAAAAAATGAAAGATTGTTACTCAAAGACTTTTGTGAGAACATGTAGTTTTTGCTTGGGACTGGTGAAATCATTTTAATTTCATCACGTTATGTCTTGGTTATTTCTAAAACAGTTGTGTCCATCAGCAGTAATGCCTTTTTTGTTTCAGTTCATCGACACAATGGTCAACATTAACATAACATCAGTGTGTCAGGTAAGTGTTGCAACATACGACATTTTCTGAGCACATTAACATAAACTATTAGAAATGCTAATGTACTAACAACCTAAGATTGCAAAATAAAACCGTGATTGCATTAGGTGATGTTCGGTTAATGCACCGTCGGACGTAATTACAGCCTCAACTCTGCATGGATGGGTAGGTAGAGTTTTTGATCTGAGGGCAATGCATTTTTAACCATTTTTCAAGTTCAATAGAATAAAAAATGGGAAAGTCCAAAGGTTGTTGAAGAATTTGAAGGTGCTTTTATGTAGGTTTTTTTGGTGAGCTGCAGCAGAGAAGATTCTAGTTGTCCAGCTCACTTTGGATTGTAGAAACTTTAAACTATGTGGTTAGCTTGTAAATCAGTGTGCAGTCCTGGCCACCTTTGAGTAATTAAATTTATTTAAGTGAATTCAAACACCTGAGATGGTGTGCAGTTCCCTGTCGGGTTGGGGAATGTGCACACACACACACACACACAATGGTGACATAAAGCATAGTAAGTCACTACCATCGTTTTTCTCCCATGTTCAGTCGCTCCCAGAGCAGCAGCTAAAGTCCACCCACTCTTTTAACACTTCATTTAGGTTATTCAATATTTCTGGAAATGGCTCCCTCTTCTATCATTAACATTTCCTCTCTGTCTTTGTCCTGCCTTTCTGTCCACCTCTTCACACACCTCCCACACATGTATGCTTACAAGCATGGATGAACACAACCACACACAAACCACCTTTTTTCTTTTTGAAATTCTGATGTTTTTAATTTCCGTTTTCTTGTTTCTTGTGTTCATAGATGACACGTCTTGTTTTACCCCAAATGGTTGAAAGGTGAGTTTGTACGACGTTTGTACGTTTTTGTACATTAAAGATAATGTACCGTAAGTATCTTTCCACACAGAAAATGTGGTGTGTAAAAGTATTTGTCCTCTTACATTTTTCGTTTTTACTTTTTTTTTTGCCACAGTTGCATCAGATCTGCAAACAAAATAACCCAAGTATATATGATATGTAGTTTTCCAATTATGTTTTAATAAGGAAAACATGCTATCCATACCGACTCAGTCAGCACTATGTAAAACATTTGACCTCCTTGTTAAATAATGAATTTTCTGTGATTAACAGCAAATACAACAGCAAATACAGGAAAAAACGAATCCAGAACAACACTGAAATCACCACATTCCTCTCTTGGTTTAAGATTAATTTCATGATTCAACAATAAAAATAAAGACAGGGCAAAAATGCCATAATGGCAACGTTCTAAGATCAAAACCTCTGCTGACCAAAAAGAACACAAAATCCCACCTCTTGTTGGTTAAAAACCTTGATGAGCCCCTAAACCTTTGGGAAAATATTCTGTGGAATGATGAGACACAAATAAAACTTTTTGGATAGTGTGTATCTCGATATAGATTATCGTCATCTTCTTCTTTACATCATATATATATATATATATATATATATATATATATATATATATATATATATATATATATATATATATATATATATATATATATATATATAAACAACCATTAAGCCAACAGTTAAACATGGTGGTAGTAGTATGATGGTCTGGGATGTCTTGCTGCTTCAGGACCTGGACCAGATGTTGCTCTAACAGTATTGCAACACATCAAGCATTCAACAAGAAGTTTCTAATTTCTATTGTCAACTCAAAACCTAGCCTGCCCACCCATTCCCCACATGTCTATCAGTCAGAACATCCAATTCTACTCAGCAAGTAGATCCCTAAGGTTACCTATCAGGTCCATCCAACACATTGTTGTGGTGTTTGAAGTTGCATTATTGATCTTCACTGATAAATTTCATTTACACTCAAAGCCAGTACAAACACTACAAGTTGTTAGGTGGTTTCCATCTTTAAGCAATGGTTTCCTTCATTGCAGTCAATCCTACAAGCCAAATCCTACAGGTTTCCTCCGTATGTGATAGCTGTGATTCATCATTTATTAAGTGAACAACAGGATCCAAGGGGAGTGGTACACCACTTAAATCAGTAATACAACAAAGTACTTTAACCTAGAGGTCCTGAAGTCCAGGACTTTCCTATACAACATGAATAAATAAGCCCAGAGTCCCAGGAAAACAAAACTAGCAAAAAGGATCTGATGTGTTGCCCATTTTGTGTGTAATAATAAGCTCTTGGACACATTTTCAAATTTATATATTTATGATTGGGTGAAAATAAAAATAAAAAATCCCAATCGGGTTTAGGGCCCTTGGGACAGCAGGTTGTTATAAATATATATCTTTTTTGGGACACATCTTGTAACCAGCTGGATACTGGGTGTTCACATAGACCCTAAAAACAGACCTCATTCTGAAGTCAAAAAACGAAGAATGTCTATCAGCATTATATTTTAACATCAATTCTTGGAAGCAAAAAATAGATTTTTCCCCACTAATGTTTGTCAACGTTGTAATGCCCTTGCTATCCAATTTCTTACCATGATTTCCTCCCTAACAAGAGAAAACTATTGTTGTATAAAGGGGATGATGCATACCACCAATGTTTTAGTGCTGGTTATCTGTCAACAGCCCAAAATTTCACTAACGTATGTCTCAAAATTGGATCGTAATGTAGACTAACTTTTTCAGTTGATACTCCTGTGAAAAGGAAATCCTTTTATCTCACTGGCAGAATACGGTCTCGCTCCACAACTTTCCATACAGGGTGCTTTCTATCCAGCAAGACAAACTCCTCTCAACATGGGCTCAGTGATTGAAGTTAAAATTGGGACATTCACATTCTCCATTTTTTTTCTTTTTAACAGCAAAATGTACCACTTAAGGCCAGGGAGCTTACTGTTCTAAACACAACTTGTAATGATCTATTCTATCCCAATAGCCTGTCAAAGAGGGAAGCAGAATCAGACCTTAAATGTTTATTCTATGTAACACGTTCATCTTGATGACTGAAATTCTAGCTGGAACAAAAGCCGGCAGGTGTTTCCATTGATTGATATCCTTGTCAATCCTTTTCACTACTGACAGATAGTTTAATTTGGCAGCTGCTGTAATATTAAGTCAAAAATGTATCCCCAAGTAGGTCTGTAAATTCTGTAAAGAAGAGGGGTACAAAAATCCTCTTAACGTGATGATAGCGATATCACGAGTACTTGCTTGGAGTGTCACAGTCAGTTTGAGGATCTGTTACTTTTCCTTGTGGAATCAGGTAGAGGCCCCTTTCTTCCTTAATAAATATTATTTTTATTTATTTGAATTCCCAGTTTTGTTTTACTCTAGTTTGGGATGTCTAGTGTTTAAATGTGTTTGCTAATCTGAAACACTGACGTTGGAAACATTGAAGTCAGACTCCAAAAAAGCAAATATACAAGAAATATTATGTAACGGGCCAATCCATCTTTGGATCACTGTTCTTTGCTATAATGTGGTTGGAATGAAATAAAGACTATCCTTTTTATTAAGACATACATTCTGATAGACGTGAATAATATATTTGTTTGACAAAACAAATTTAAATGAATTTGAATTCAAAGTCATATTTAGCTTTCTCAAATAACAAACTAAAAAGAAGGATGGTGAGTTTTACTATGAAGAGCAAATACATTCAGACTGTGCCTCCATGTTCACACAATAATCGAAAAACATATCAAGTGAGTGACAAAACTACTAGACTAAAAGTACTAGCTAAACCTACTTAGAGCATGCAAAATATGGCTCCATAAAGATATTTGAGTGTTGGATTAATCTTTCCATTGCGAAAAAGGGGAGACAAACTTTTCACACCATTACCAAGAAATATGTCATACAGACCAAAAAGAAGTGGTTTGTTGGTGCTTTTTGTCACTAAAGAGGCACCTGCAAGAGTCTGATTTTATTTATGTATAGAATCTGTGCAAATTAGATAGACAACACTTAGTTTTCATTCTTTAAGTTGTTTTGCTGTGTTTCAGAATTATTTATATTTACAAACCTAAAGAGTGAAATAAAGAAGGGTTTCCTAGAAAAGGTATTTTGTATTACGTGATTAAAAATAAATGGCTGTTTTTGTCTGAATGAATCGAAGAATTCCATGAAGGTTCATTTCTGCTCAGTTTGATCTTAAATTTATGAATCTTTTGCCCCTCAAAATAAATTTCATATTCCAAAAATAAGAAGGATGAAGGCACCGCAGACTGAAGCAAAAATGTCATCAGATTGTAAACATTTAAATATTGATGTTGCTGTATCTTTCATCTTATCATTATCCACCAGCTCTACTTTGATGCACTACGAGTACAGTTTTGGCTCAGCATGCGAGTACATGCTCTACCGTATTCTTTTATCTTGCTAGGATTGATTTCAGGCTGAAGTGTCTGTTGCTGTCTTTTTTCTCGGAGTATTTCTTTCTGATGCAGAAGAACATTTGGTTTTCAGGAAGAAGGGGGCCATCCTCAACATCTCATCTGCCAGTGGGATGTTCCCTGTTCCTCTCCTCACCATCTATTCTGCCTCCAAGGTAAATGCAGTACATGGTGTATGACCTTCTCATCAAGTGTTACTTGAAGGGATACCTGTAGGTGCTCTGGCTTCATAAACAGCTTGTGTTAACATATACTGCAGCACTGTAGGAGAAATCCACCCCAGTTGACTTCTTATGAATTATTCTTTCTCATTGACCGACGAAGCTAAACTTAATCGATAGAGAACACTTACTTGTGTGTAGGATTAAATTGACTAATTTAAAAGCCTTGAAACAAAATCTTCATCTTAAGTAATGATAAATTCTAGTTTTATTTGAGGCTATTTTTGCTTGACAACAACATGAAATGTTTACTTGAAACTGGACAATGCTGACATCTTAAGTTAAATGTTAATGTGCTGCCTAAAGCAGTACAGGCACATTAAAAAAATCAAATATCATGAAAAGGTTTCATTTCAAGAAGTAAAACACATATTTAAATTCATTACACATAGTGACATATTTGAAACCAATTTTTATTGTAATTTTGATGATTGTGGTTTAAGAAAATCCAAAATTCAGTGTCTCAGAAAATTAGGATTGTAAATATCAATCAAGAGCATTGTTTCAACAGAAATGTCAGCCTTCTAGTAAGTATGTTCATTTCTATGCATCAATACTTGGCTGGGCCTCCTTTTGCATGAATAGCTGCATCAGCACAGTGGGGCATGGAGGCCATCAGGCTGTGGCTCTGCTGAGGTGTAATGGAAGGCCCATGTTGCATCCTTCAGGTCATTTGCATCGTTGTGTCTGGTGATTCATCCTACTCTTAACAATACCAGTGTCTGTTCAGGTTAGACTAGCTTGCTGGATAATCAAGCCTAGTAAAACCAGGGTCATCGAGCCAGCTTTTGGTACCTTTAACGGTGAATAGATGCCAAGTACTGCTGGAAAATGAAATCATCTCTGTAAAGCTCATCAGTAGAAAGAAGCATGAAAATCTCTTTAAACTATCTTCATTCATCGTGAACTCGAGAAAACACAGTGGACAAACATGCAGATGGCATGGCACCCAATCATATCTGATTGTGGAAAATTCCTTCTGGACTTCATTCAAGCTATGGGGATTCTTTGCCTCTCCACTGATTTCTAATTGATATGAAGATTTTAGTTTTATCTGAAAAAAGAACTTCAGATCACCAACTCCAGTTCTTGTTTTCCTTAAGCTTCTGATGTCTCTGGTTCAGAACTAGATTGGCAGAACTTGTTTGTGCATAGTGACTCTGGACGTGTCCACTCCTTGTGAAGTCCTCCCAAATTCTTGAACAAATGTTGCTTGGAAATCTTGTCAAGGCTGTGGTTCTTCCTGTTGCCACCAAACTTTCTATGAATAAAAAAACAGCCCTCTGTGTACAAGCGGCTTCTTTTGCAGTGAGCTTTTTTGGATTCTCCTCCTTAAAGACCATGTCAGTAACTTTCTTCTGGACACTTGTCAAGTCTGCATTTATTCCCATGATAGTTAGGGTCAGTACGATACACTACTAAGAGACCATTGAGAAGAAGTGTGTCCAAAGCGTGTCCTTCTGTTGTCCTGGCGGGGAATTGCTTTGCAACACTCCCCAGGAGATGTAAAAGTTCGAGACCCAAACATCTCTGTCAGTGCTTGTGCGTCTTTCTCTTGTGGAGCTGACGTAAGTAGAATCGTGTTTAGTGTAGGTGTTACTTGTCTTCCATTGATGACCTTGATAAACTATCTTTCTCTAAAACAGGCATTTGTGGACTTCTTCTCGCGGGGACTGCAAGCTGAATACAAGAGCAAAGGGATCATCATTCAGGTAAGTTTGGCACTGGTTTTAGACTGCAAGTCCAAATGATGTGATGTGATTATTTGTAATCATACTTTTAGATATGACATTTTTTAGGACCTAAGACATTAAAGAAATACAGGTCCTTCTCAAAAAATTAGCATATTGTGATAAAGTTAATTATTTTCTGTAATATACTGATACACATTAGACTTTCATATATATAAGATTCATTACACACAACTGAAGCAGATCAAGCCTTTTATTGTTTCTAATATTGATGATTTTGGCATACAGCTCATCAAAACCCAAAATTCCTATCTAAAAAAGTTAGCATATGAAACTGTTCTCTAAAGGAGCTATTAACCTAATCATCTGAATCAACTTATTAACTCTTAACACCTGCAAAAGATTCCTGAGGCTTTTAAAAACTCCCAGCCTGGTTCATGACTCAAAACCACAATCATGGATAAGACTGCCGACCTGACTGCTGTCCAGAAGGCCATCATTGACACCCTCAAGCAAGAGCGTAAGACAGAAAGAAATTTCTGAACGAATAGGCTGTTCCCAGAGTGCTGTATCAAGGTACCTCAGTGGGAAGTCTGTGGGAAGGAAAAAGTGTGGCAGAAAATGCTGCACAACTAGAAGAGGTGACCGGACCCTGAGGAAGATAGTGGAGAAGGACCGATTCCAGACCTTGGGGGACCTGCAGAAGCAGTGGACTGAGTCTGGAGTAGAAACATCCAGAGCCACCGTGTACAGGCGTGTGCAGGAAATAATCTACAGGTACCGCATTCCCCAGGTCAAGCCACTTTTGAACCAGAAACAGTGGCAGAAGCGCCTGACCTGGGCTACAGAGAAGCAGCACTGGACTGTTGCTCAGTGGTCCAAAGTACTTTTTTCTGATAAAAGCAAATTTTGCATGTCATTTGGACATGTACCCTCAGTCAGTGATGGTCTGGGGTGCCATGTCAGCTGCTGGTGTTGGTCCACTGTGTTTTATCAAGGGCAGGGTCAATGCTGCTAGCTATCAGGAGATTTTGGGAGCACGTCATGCTTCCATCTGCTGAAAAGCTTTATGGAAATGAAGATTTTATTTTTCAGCACGACCTGACACCTGCTCACAGTGCCAAAACCACTGGTAAATGGTTTACTGACCATGGTATTACTGTGCTCAACTGGCCTGCCAATTCTCCTGACCTGAAGCCCATAGAGAATCTGTGGGATTTTGTGAAGAGAAAGTTGAGAGACACAAGACCCAACACTCTGGATGAGCTTAAGGCTGCTATCGAAGCATCCTGGGCCTCCATAACACCTCAGCAGTGCCACAGGCTGATTGCCTCCATGCCATGCCGCATTGGAGCAGTCATTTCTGCAAAAGGATTCCCGACCAAGTATTGAGTGCATAACTGAACATAATTATTTGAAGAGTGACTTTTTTTGTATTAAAAACACTTTTATTTTATTGGTCGGATGAAATATGCAAATTTTTTGAGATAGGAATTTTGGGTTTTCATGAGCTGTATGCCAAAATCATCAATATTAGAAACAATAAAAGGCTTGAACTACTTCAGTTGTGTGTAATGTAGGCTTGGGTGGTATCCAAATTTGAATACCGTCTAACTTCCACTTAATTTTACCCCGGTATATGGTATTACTGTGAATACTTAAAAAGTATGACGTAAGACTCAAGTGGACCTTCACCTTTCTGAATCCGAATACCAATTACTAAAAAAATAACAATGCAACTCACATACTATTGACAACATTTATTAACACAAAAAACGCAGCTTATAAACAAGTGCAAAGAGTCAACAGTCCAACAGCAATAAATCAACATAAAAACCCAGGACAGCTGTTGTGCGCAAATCAAGTGAACAACTTATCAACGAGTAGCATGAAACAGTGCAAATAGGCCGTAACAGTCAACAAGAGTTGAATAACCATAAACATTGAAATTATAAAAATTATTGCAACCAAAACAACTGCATTAAAATTATAAAAAGAAAACTCCGTCACACGGCCACACGCGTGCGCGCGCACACACACACAGAGGAGTGTGAACATTACGGCATGTTGCAGCAAATCTAGTTAAGATTTCTCGCCAGAAAAACCAGAATGTTTACTTTTTCTGGGTTCAAGTTTGCATGTTGTGGACCAACAACTTTACCTGCGCTGCTGAAAACCCGCTCCGATGGTGAGCTGGTGGCACAAAGGCATAGATACCTCCGGGCCAGTCGTGACATCTGGGGAAAACGACTGGCAGCATATTTCCACCAGAGAAGAGGGTCTTCGTCCCCTTGAATAACAGGTTCCAAACAGTATGCTGTTATTTCAGCTCCAGCTCGTTGCTCTGCGCTGACGGGACCCTCCGGCGCAGCGTCAGCGGCTCGTTTTTGCAGGAGAGCCCCCAGAGACATCTTTTTGCGTGGGGGTTCAGTTTGTGCTCATTCCTCTATTGTTCGGATGGCCACTGCTTCTGGTGCTGCTTGCCCCTCTAAGCTCACGATCTCAGCCTGTAATTCAGCTTTGATTTCAGCCAGTGCGTTGTCATCAAGCTCATATCTGCCACGGTAACGAGGATCGAGGAAAGTGCATTTTCGCATTAATTTGCGCACTGAATCAGATTCATACTTGGCCTCCAGCTTTTTTAGAATTGTGGTTTTTATTGACTTTGTAAGCTGGAGGTCGTTTTCTGACACAGCCAACACGCTCTCCCTGCAGAGCTGGAGTATGGGGAGGATAGAGGAACTGGTCAGTCGCACAGCTGTTTTTCATGACTGTATTGGAACTGACACCATCGCTATTTTGTAATACCACGTGTATACGGTAATACCGTAATACCGCCCAAGCCTAGGGTAATTACTCTAATATATATATGAAAGCCTAATGTTTATCAGTACATTACAGTAAATAATTAACTTTATCACAATATGCTAATTATTTGAGAAGGACCTGTATTTCTTTATTTTTATTTTTATTATTATTATTATATCATCATATGCACTGCCTGGCCAAATAAAAAAGTCACATCTGGATTTAACAAATAGTTACGAGCCTCCGATTGGATCATTTCATTTGGCAACAAGTTATTTAACCCCAGCTGATGCAAAAAGTTGCTTCTCATTTCTTAAACAACAGTGTGGAAAGACACATCTGGGGGTCATGGAAAAGATTTTAGTGTGTTTAAGAAAGGTCAAATCATTGGCATGCATCAAATAGAGAAAACATATTAAGAGGTATTAGAAACTACTAAAATTGGGTTAAGAACTCTCGAACGCATTGTTAAAAACTGGAAGGATAGTGGGGACCCATCTTCTTCAAAGAAGAATTGTGCCCGGAAAAAGATCCTGACTGGTGGTAATCAGCGATCACCTAAACATTTTGTGAAATCAATCAGGCTCAAATAGTGAAAAAGTGATTCAGAGAGCATGACACATCATTTTCACACATGGATTGGCCACCACAGAGTCCAGACCTTAAACCCATTGAGAACATTTGGGATGTGCTGGAGAAGGCTTTGTGCAGCGGTCAGACTCTACCATGATCCGTACAAGATCTTAGTGACAAATTATTTTAACACTGGATGGAAATAAATGTTGTGACATTGCAGAAGCTTATCGAAACAATACCACAGAGAATGTGTGCCGTAATCAAAGTTAAAGGCAGTCCAATAAATTATTAAGAGTGTGTGGCCCTTTTTTTTTTTATTTTTTTGGTGGCAAAATTTTTTGGGCAGCGCAGTGTATATTTTTATATAATATTTCTTAAAGTTTTGAGGTTTGCATCATTTAAACTTCATGTATAATTTGTTTCCTTGGTTTTCTAGAGTGTGTTGCCATTTTTCGTTGCAACCAAGCTGAGTAAAATCCGACGAGCCACGCTGGACAAGCCCAATCCAGAGCGATACGTTGCAGCTGAGCTCAACACCGTGGGACTGCAGACCCAGACTTATGGCTACCTGCCTCATGCCATAATGGTTAGTCTGGGAATGTAAAAACAAAGTACAAGCAAGGAATCCAAAGCAGATTGTCAAAATGAAAAACAAAGCTACGATTGAAAATGATTTAGAGGTCCTTCACCTAAATGATCAGTTACTCTAATCATTTGAGTTCACCATGCAGGTTGAATGTGAAAATGGTCTCCTACACCTTTTTTCTGTATTATCTTCTGATAGAAAATAGACAGTGAAACTTTAAGATGCATGACAGATCTACGTCACACAAAGCTTTCATGGACTCACCCATCTAGAATCACGATGGGAAAGCCTGTTGGTTTAGTGTCCAGGAAACAGAAGAGAATGTCTGGAATAGTAGAAGCTAACCATTAGCATTAGCAACTCCACCACAAGGCAGAACTCCTCAAGGCTTGTGTTAGTTGTGGAGATAAAGTATCAGTGTTGCAGACCAAACAGAGTCAGTTGTAGTTGTAGTGGAGGCAAATGGATTATTTATTTGATATTCTGTATACATATAAAATATTACCTTGCTTGATCTTTATTGTAAATATCAGAATATTATAGGGCTTAATCAGAAGATTTTAGGATTTTTGCTTTATTAAGTAATTATACACACTTCGTTTTGATACAGAAAAGAGTCAGGTTTATAAAAGTAAGAATTTATTTTATAACCATTAAAACACGACAAGTGAACTAAGCATTTACTGTGAGTGTATGAAGCTAAATGTGATGTAAGAACCTTTGTGTGAATGCGGTGTTGGTCAGAACTTCCTTATCTCGGAAAGCGACTTCTCCTGATGAAAAAAGAATTTGGATTGCTTAAGCTATGAAGTTGTTATTGTCAGAAGCACATCAGACGCAATCTCTCTGTGTTCTACCTCACCTTTTTGATGACCCTCGTCACGGATCCGGAGGTCAGAGAGGCCGGATGGCCTCTGGGCACCCAGGTCCATTAGATTGACCACAAGGGCCGACTTCTCCAGTCCAGAGTTGTCACCAGGCAGCACAGGTTGGGATCACCTTGCGTCTCGGGAACAATTCTTAAGCAGTTGAACTCTATCGGCTTGTTTCTGCTGGAACTGTCTTGCTGTCTCAGCTTTGTAGGTGCAAAAAGGTTTTGACGACGTGTCAAAATCTTTGATGGTTAAAGAGGTTTGGCTACAGATGGCCGGTCTGAAGCTTTCTCAAGAACTGAAGAATCATCAGCGTGATCTGGTTTTAATGTTTTGATGTTATGACTTGCACAGCTAATCAGGCTGACAAGTTTGGAGATGTTTTACCAAGGCAACTCAGAAACACACCGTCTTTGATATCGGAAGTCCTGACTGGTTAAAAAAAACAAGTTATGTGTTGTAGTCTTAACTTAACTTACTTGTTATTGTGGATGCAGGTGCGAGGACCTTGTCGTCAAAACATGTTGAACACATGGCAGGTTCTAGTAGACACACATGTATATTAGCATTGTGCTAACCACTCGCTGCCAGTCAAATCGCAGCCTTTGCGATTAGAAAATTTCCTTTTGTCACATCGCAATTTAATTGCATATGCAATTAATTGTTCGGCCCTAGTAACAACACAATGTATTACAGCATATGGTTAAATCCATTTGGGCATAAGAAGCTGTCATTAATCCTGTGCAGCCAAAATTTCTTGTGCAGATACATTCATCACAGATGTTGCCTGCCTTCATTTTCTGTATTCCACCAAACCACGAGTAGCAGACAAGCAGTGCTGTTGCGATTATCCGCTAATCCCTCTCTGTTCTGTTGTGTAGCAAAGCTCTTCACGTTTCACAGTTTTAAGCCACAGTTTGCTGGTGTATAGTTTGGTCAGCTCTAAAGCTACAGTCTGCAACTTTCTGGAAAAACATCTGCTTGCTTGACTTTGCTGTAGCTCTTTTTCTCCTTAGGTGTAAAACCTGAAATAATAAAACCCATCGAGCAAACTGATATTAGCCCCATGATCTGGCTTCTGAGCTCAGATTTATTGAGGTGTTTAAAATGTGCAACATAATACAGTTTGAATTTCTATGCTCCTGATGTACTGTAAAAGTAACAGCTGGTTTAAATTCATTATGATGAATTCATAGAAGTTCATCATCCTAAACTGGAAATGTAAAACCGCTTGAGTCTGATTTTCTTATTTAATGAACTCAATAGCACTAAAAATAGTGAACATGAGTTTTATTAAACATTGAATTTATGACAGAATTCTTTAGTTTGTGAAACCATATATTTGATTTATTTTTAACTTAAAATACATCAGCAGAATTTTTCCACCCCTTGGAATTCAGTTGCAGAATTTAACTTTCCAAATTTCAGCAACAGAATTTGAACATAAAAATTTCATCAGCAAAAATTCAACATCGGAAAATTCAGCAGCAAAAATGTAACGGAAGAAATTCAACAACAAATGAGGTGATGCTCCTGATGACCCAAGCCAAAGCATTCGTCACTTCGTGTGATGCGTAATTTGATTGGCTAAAAGCCACTCAACTTGATCGATTACTTTGGCTTGGGTCACAAGTATGTTGCCTCAGTTGTGGAAATTTTGCATGCATGTTGATGATTTTTTTTTATGTTGAAATTTTGCTGATTAACCTTTTGCTAGTGTTTAAGTTAAAATGCAAATACATAATTTCACAGAATAAAAGGGAAATGTTGTAAGGTAAATGTAAAAAAAAAAAGTCATTCTCGTGAGGCTGAATTTATTTCATAGAAGCATAATATGTTGGTAATAGCCACCATTATAATCTATGGGTTTGTTTCCACCAAGTGCGCAGCAGCATTTCCCAGAAGTGTTGAGTCACAGCAGTCTGCCAAATTTACATTTTACACATCAAGCTCAACAATTCAAATTGGACCAAACAGGAAATCCAACTCAGGAGCACTAAAGCATCCAGCACATTTCGAAATAAAACAATCCGCTGTGTTTCCTGTTGCTTAACTTAAAAAATAAATTTTCATTTTCAGTGATATCTCAAAGGTAGAAAATAATGTAAAATAAACTTCAGACCTTTTGGATACATGCTGCCGTCTTTCTCCTTGCTTTTTATCACGTGAACTGGCAAAATCACGTAAATCTTACAATTCTGTTATTTTGTGGGACCAGCTACATATTTGCAGTCGTAGTTCTGATTCTGAAATGCTCCCAGTAGAAAGACATGCACAGCTAAAGGTGCGTGGAAAACGCGTCTGTTAGGTTATGCATCTGGTGTAAAGCCCAGGTTAACAGGAAATGTTAAGAATCTACATATAAAATCATCTTAAAATGGAAAAAATAAAGTACTATCAAACATATTAATTTTTTAATTACCATATTTTTGGTTTATTATAGATTGATGGTAAATAAGACAACAAGTCTTTCCTAACTTTTACTAAAAAGCATAATTGTTATCTTCTAAAACTGCCTGTTTAAGAAAGGGTGACAGGGAGCTGGCGCCCATTTCCAGCCCAGCAGTCATTTGGGGAGAATCGGTGGACATCCTGGACTGGTTACCAGTATATCAGAGCCATATTTACTCTCAAGAGTCTACCAGTCGCACTCACTGGTACACAGTGACGATTTAGAGTCACCATGAGTCTAACATACATGATTTTGGTCTGTGGAAGGAAACTACTATACAATTCTATACAAACCGTTTAATTAGTCACGCTCCACTGTAGCCTCAGCAGGTTTACTATTGGCCTGAGCAGTTTTGTGTCTTGCCAAATACCGCACTCTATCTTCTTCAGGCAAGCTTGGCACCAAAGCTGGGATGCAGGAAAACTACAAAGATGGCGTCTGCTCAGAAATAGTGTTCATTTGAAACGGCTTTGGCATCAACTTTGGACAATTTAGACTGGCTTTTCTTTGAGGCATGAGCAGATAGAGGTACTTAAGTCATTTATTTTGAATAAGGATGTATTTACTTCTTCTTCGACAGTGTATGGCGGACTGCCCTGTTGACTGATTCTCATATTGATAAATAGATCATGCTGTTCATTGCACTGATAGGTCCTAGCACTGTCCAGTTGCGTTCAGAGACAGTTTGAAAGACAACCATAGATTCTGCCTTACATGACTGTGTCGTGGTTAGACTATACAGTATGTTCTTGTATATAGGATGGTTTGCCAGGCTGGGAGGAACGTGGAGCAGAAAACCCATGCACTCATGAGAACATACCAACTCCACAGCCAGGCACTGAACCTGTGACTTTCAATTTAATGTCAATATCCATCTTTGCATTTATAAAGTAATCTGAATCCACTTTGACATTTTATAGGCTTTTACTCTACGGCCTCAACTTCATCAACTTTCACAAGATTATGCTTGGATATTTTTTTATTTAATGCATCGTCAAGCCAACAAACAGACAAGCAGCATTAATTACATTCCTTCTCCTGAACTCTCCTGGATGAATGAGTTCATTATGTTTTCTGTGAATCTGTGAAAGTCACACGATGCTGCTGCGTTAAACCACTCTCCTCTTATGAAGAGGACTTAAATCTTAAAGAAAATCGTTCCTGCCCACCACGGTACAGTTGCCAGAGAGGTTGTAAAGATAAAGCTGACTCACCTGACTTTGTGGCTAAAGTGGAAGAATTTTTATTACTGTAATCTGAACGGCCCACTAATGTGCCATATTTAAATGTTCTGCAAATGAAGTAAATTTATCCATCAGCCCTAGAGACAAAGACCATCTGGCTGTAATGGGGAAAGAAATCTGAGATTGTGTACGTTGCTTTGCAGACCATTGAGAATAGATTTAAATACTGCTGAAATGAGGACTTTTGAATTTTATGGTCTTTTACATCAAATAAAAAGTGCAGTAGTTCAGGCGTAATTAGAAAAGGTTGTTTGAAGCATTAGAATGGCCCTGTTGCTTGAATTTCCCCTTGTACAAACATGCCTGCCACAGTTGTTGCTCCTGTGGGTTGGAGATTAATAATAAATGCTAATCTGTTATTTGTAAATGCCACCAGATGACCATGTAATTTCCCTCTGTAGGGTTGGGTGACTACAGCTCTGCTCCCAGCCAAGATACTCAACAGCCACCTGATGGGGATGGGCCTGTCCCAGCGTGCTCGTTACCTCAAGAAACAGAAGCAGGGATAGATGGATCTGGATGTGAGTGCCGGGAGCCACAGCGATAGACAGAGGGGACCAGCTGTGTTAATGACGTGTCCAACTACCATCATCATCAAGGACCAAGCAAAGAAAAAGTGACAATTTCTGGGCAACATCTCAGTTTTCCTCCTCCTGAAAGTGATGGATGATGTGAGCTAGTCTTTTCAGCACATTGCATGTGCTCAATCCAAACATTTGTGTAAACACTATTGGACCAATTTGTGTTTTTTGTTAAGTACACAGCTTTAATTAAACATGAAAACTAGAACTAACTCCCCAAAATGACCATCTGTTGCAACAAAAATAGGGAGGTCATAAAACATTCAAAAAGGAGAGAGGAAGTTGCATGTGTGAGGATGTGGCCCCTGTGGGTTTAGCTCACTGCTGTTTGATGAAACGACGAAGGTGGAAAAACTGGTGATCAGAAGTCAGTTGTGGGTAACAAACTAACCTGTAGTTTCCTTTTGTTTTTTTTTTAATTTAAAGTCAAGTTTTACAGCAAAAGGATTTAAACTTCTAAAACTCTGACCTCAATTTCAATTGATTACATTTTCAAGCATTGGTGAAAGAATCACATTTACAATTAACTAACATGTCACACACACACACACACACACACACACACACACACACACACACACACACACACACACACACACACACACACACACACACACAAAATAGTGGCAGTCTGTTCTTAACCAGCACTAGTAGTAATTACAAATTAAAAACAGTTCTGATACATTATTTGTCTGAGCAGTAGCAAGGTTTCTGATCTTTAAATATAGATTTGGTTCTGATTATGTTTGTTTTTCTGTTATTCATCATAAAGCCAGCTTGCGAGTTATGAAACCAAAATAACAAAATGACTCACTCTAGTTTGTTCTGTTCTGTCATGTCTTTGTAGACTTTGTGCTACATGTAATCTCTTTGGACCTGGTGTCATATCTGCTTTGTTTTAACTTGGTTTTTGGTATTCATTTACGACGTCTTGGTACTTCATATTTTACAATTAAAAATTGCACTACCAGGGATTGACCTCATTGTTGTCATCTTTTCATCCTCATGTTGTTTGAAGTAACCATGACGATTACCACCTTTCACGTTGCCCCCTGCCATCAATAAATTTGCCTTCCAAACCACTTGGGATCGTCTTTCCTTTTCTTGTTCTGTCACTTTTTTATAATCACACTCTTGTTTAATAAAAAATGAATTCACATAATGTCTAAACCAAGTATTCTCATTTACAGGCATATTTGATGTATTTTTGGAGCTCTAGAGAAGAGGTTACTAGTGCATGAGTGCATTTTCTTAATTGCTTTTTGCTAACAATTGTTAGTGTGACGTGACATTTTGGCTTTTATCTTTGGATTTGATTATGCTGATCTGTTGCACCGTTGTGACCTAAGCTGAAAAAAAAGAAGTTTGACTTGAAAATCACAATAATCCAAAACTTTTAGATTTTTTTTTTCCAAAATAATAAATACAAATCCATATATACATATAAATACACATATGCATATAAAATACACAGCCAATACATGAATTTGTTTTCATCAGATTGTAATAAATATATCAATGAATATGCATGCATATGTATTAAAATATATCAATTCTGTCAATCACATTAGGTGGAGCAAAACAATTCTTATGAGAGTGTTGGAGTGATTTCACTGCCCTAACACACATGCGATTACATGTTTCTGCAGAACTTAATGTGCTGGTAAACAGCTAATTCAGGTGTTTTAGAGCAGGGAAACAACTAAAAGATGCTGTATAGTGGCCCGTCAGGTCCCGGATTGGGCACCGCTGTCCTTAAGGGAAGTGTGTATCTGGGATTGAAGGAAAATATCTACCAATGAAAGGGTGCATGTCTTTGACGGTCATGTTTAATATTCTTTCTGTTAGCTCAGATGAACACAGAGCAACACTTAAACAAAGATATCTCAACAAGACTGGTCTGGTACAAAAAATATGAAATAACACGAGTAAATGAGGCTAAAATGCCAGACTCTTGTTGTGAAAGGCTCAATAGGTATTAAATTGGTAGTTCCCTCTTTACCATTATTTGTATTAATATTTTATTGAACACAATCCACCTATATTTCAGTAACATTGTAGGCTGTATTAATATCACTTGTCCTAGTCAAAATTACATATCTGAATATGTCCACATATAAGCAAAATAAATTCATGTTTTTCATGTTCATTAGTGGGCTAGTGGAAATGCTAATAATGAATTTGGTTACAATGTATTGGTGGCGTAATCTTTTTTATTAGTTTTGGGTTGGCAATAATCTGATCTAAAATTATATTTAACCCTTACCCAACGTTTAAATTTTCTAACGTTAAAGTCATTAGAGCACAAAAAAATGCTCTAATGTTAGGTAAGGGTTAAAGATAAATGTGTTTGTAAATTACATGTTACAACAGCTTGCCACAGTCCGACAGAGGTATGGAGCAGACCTGAAGCAACAACCGCTCCAGGTATCTGCTGTGGGTCAGCCCCATACCTCTGCAGGCTGCAGCCATCCACAAACAAACATAATGATGGGGATTTTTCCTCCGCATGTTGAATTTATTCATTTTTGTGAATCAGATAAATGCATTTTGTCTTTAATGTGCTACTCGCTAATTAGCAAATTTTTACAATACCGGTATGTTTGTCGGTTTGTGTAAACATGAATGCGATTCATCAAAAGGGGCTGGTCATCCGCAAGGGGGCCAGTGCAGTGGTCATTTCAGCCCACCCCCACCCCCCGGGGCACCACTGATTGTGGGAGTTATTTAAGTATAATTGAGGATGAGGCTTGTAAGTGACATTCATTACCTTTATCTCAGTGAAAGTGGATATAATACTGTTATCTGACAGCTACCTTGCATTTCCACATTCAGTAATATTGCTGTAAAATTTCACCAGTGGCTCACTGAAGCTTCCAGAACGATTACACAATTAGTCATCATTTTCACAGTCCAATATTAATGTGTTGCTGTATCACTGCTCTGCCTCTTCCCTCCCAAACATCCCCATGCGGTTCCCATGCCAACAGTTTTTGGGAGGTTATTCCGGTGCACTGGTATGGAAAGTGCGGAAATGTGTCATCAGTGAGGATGTAGGAGGGGAGAGGAGCGCTGTGCGTGGAGAGATGCCCAAAGGAAGAAGAGAGTGGGTAGCACAGAGGTATATAAAGACAAGCTCAGTGGTGCTGAAATTCAACGGGTCGCTCTGACTTGTGCAACTTTTCTGTTTTCAAAGCGAAAAACAGTTTAGAGAAGGAGCTCAACGGGATCTCTCAAAGAATCTTTCGAAGCCCAACCCGAGGGATATTTTCAATCGCTCTGATTGATTATATTGTTACACTTTTTTGTCTATTTTTGCATCATCTGTCCCAGAACAGTGGAGACAGCCGATCAGACAGCAATTTTTCATCTTTAAACACAAGGTTGTAAATCTTGCATCCTCCACTGCATCTTCTCTAGAGTCTTCCTGTCTGAAGCTCATCATCCGCACATTCAGGCCTCTGTTTGCCATGGCGACCAGCATGGAAACTCTTTCTGCCCATCTGCTGCCTTTGGTAATGGAGGAGTTCCCCCAATCTTTGGCCACAGCTTGCGTCTGCAGGGCCGGGCAACATGAGCCCCGCCTCCGCTGCGTACAGTGCGGCATCATTGAGGAGGAGGAAGAGAACTGCTCTACCCTGGAGGAGGACCAGGCCCTGCGCTCCTTCCTGCAGACGGTGGAGAGCCTGAGAAGAAGCACCAGATGAGCTCCTCCATAGGACCTTCTGCCCTGACACATTTGACCTACTAGACTTGACTGCAACTAGTTTGGAACCCAGCAGATGTCTGGAAGGGGACGCTGTGGGTGAGGATGTTTTGGTGAAACCATCGTCGCAGGTGTGGACAAGTGCCAACAAATGAGACTGCACTGAACTGGAACATTGTGAATTGTTTTAAAGCTTTTATTTATATAATTCAAAAGCTGCTGACAGCAAAGCAACACTTGGGAAATACTTTCAAGGGAAATTTGCTTTGTTTTGCTGTGAATTTCAGCGTCCATCACATCTGACACCTTGTCTGTCACGCTCTAAACTGTGTTTCTTCAGATTTACGTTTAAATGATGTTGAGTTAAATATATAAATGTTACATTAAAAACAAGTATTTGTCAGTTTGTCTTTCTATTATTGAAATAAATGAAAAGAAAAGTATTGTGAAGCCGAGAAATCTATTAACACCCCAGGTTACCCATTAATGTTTCTGCAGACACCAGCGAGTGTGTTTAAAGGACCTCGACACGCAACAAGCCTTATGGGCGTTTTAGACCCTTCCATTTGGTGGCACTGTTGATGCACTTTTAAACAGAACTCTGCTGTTCTACTCAGCAGCTCAACTTAACTGCATATTAACATATGCAATTTTAAAATGAGCTGTGCTGGTTCTCTCATAATTCAGTTATCATAAATTTTACTGGTGATTGGTTCTGGGAGAGGATGGCATGGGTCATGACTAAAATACTACAGCATCCTGTTGGCTGTTATTGTAATCCTGCTTTTTTTTACCTTAAATTCTAATATTTTCCATTTCACCTGTTTTATTTATTATTATTATTCAGCTTCCCATTTTTTTCTCTGTTCTGTGACAACTTTTAGAAGCTTTCTGCACAGCCATGTTCCATCTCTGCATTTTGTTTGCACTCTAGTAATATATTCTGTATAAAATATCTGACTCTTAAGAAGAGGCTTTTACTGAAAAAATAAAACGTTGCTTCTGTTATGCTTCTATTAGATTGCAATCTCTTAGTTTCTTGATGGTTTACAGAAAAAGCTCAGAACTGCTTCAGAACTGAGTTCAGTTAGAGATGTTGTCGGCCATCATGAGCTTGTTTAATTTTGAGGGCTGTTACGTAAGTATCTGTTTTATGAATTGTTTACATGAAAAACATCCTTTTTCACTTTTAGTTAGTTTTTTATTTCAGTTCAACCACCACTGCTAGTATCCTGGTAAATAGTTTACCAGAGTTTTTATTTTAATTTTTAGATATTTGAGGTCAAAATCATAGAAAAAAACACAAATTTTGTGTGAAATGTTATTAATAATGTTAGATCATAATGACTAAGCTGTGAATTTGTTCATTTAGGAATAGTAACACCAAGAAATTATGAGAAACAAATATTTTTAAAAGGATACTTTTCAACTCTTTTATATTTTTTAATTATTTATTTATTTAATTAATTATTATTTATTTATTGAGCCAGTATGTGCTAAAGTAACCCTTTACAGGGTTAATGAAAGGCCACCCAGCCCCAATCACCCCCGTGGCCAGAATATTCCACTTGCAACTTCAGAGTTGCCGGTCATGTCTGGAGCTGACAAACCTGGTGCTGCAGTCTTCTTCCGGCACGTTTCCTGCATGTTTTAAATTATGAACTCAGCTGATTTGTTTAATTTAGAGATGAATCACTCCTGTAGACACTAAGGAAGGCTGGGAGACATTTCTGCTGTTAAATTAAAGTGTAAAAAACAATACGCACAACAATTTCGCTTTTGGTTCTACAAACGGGCACTAGGGGGTGCTAAAAGCAAGCCAAAACTCCCAAGCCTCCCTTTTTAACACTCATTAATGCTGTTTCTTTCTCCAACTGTTAACACTCATTTCTCTACCTGTTTTTTTTTTCATTTAGACCAACTAACCAGTCTGTTCTGACAAGTATAAACTTTACACACAATGTATTTCAAATTTATTTAAAATATTTTGCCTGTTTTTTTATTACATACATTTTATTTCTGCAGCCCTGGACATCCTGCTGCTCTGATGTGGATTTCTAACATATTGTCCAGAGCAAGCTGCACGATTGCTCAAACTTTCTTCCAAACATCTATCTAAATCAAATTAGGGAAAATAAAGAAAAGGAAAGATAAATATTCTAACTTTGCTAAGGTGCGTTTTGTTTTTACTGTACAGTAAAAGGCTGCATTTACAAAACTATGATTAAAACTAAGACCAAGATTTAGTACATTTTCTTAGATGAATATAGAAATAAGAGATATGTTGTGCTGTCTTGACTAAAGGATTAGGATTTGTGTTTTAATTTAATCCAACTGAGATCAAATGTGTAAGAATTTCAGTTTATTCCGATGCAT